GTGTGCACATGGCTTTCATTTTTTAGACCATTTTTTGCCTCTTTCTTGCAACACTTGAAGATAATTCAAAAATACATAAAAGCTTTGATATTTTTCTAGTAACAAGCTGTGATTCTGTGAATGAAGCAATTGTCTGAAACTTTGACTGTAAGGAAATATTGGATCCTAATGTTACCTTTCAGTACAGGCAGCAGAGATAGCACTTTTAGAAACTGTCTAACTGGAAACATTCGTTTATCTCAAGTGTAACTGGCATAAAAATTTCTTTTGTCTCAACTTGAATGTACAGTATAATGTAGATTTTTAACAAAAACAGGTTCTATATTTATTAAGTTGTGTGACTTGAAAATACCTCTTTGATATTTCAGATGATTTAAAGTGCAAAATCTTTATATATTTGTAAATAGACAAAGTGATTATGCTGAGAAACCATTAAATGAAACACATGTATACATAGTATTATTTTACATGGCATTTTAAATTGTTTTATAGTGATACTCAGTTTACAGATGTATTAGGGAGAACTTTCAATTGTTCAGTCAGGAACCAGATTATTTCAGATGTGAACAATAAACGTGTAATTCTATTGTAAGAAACCCTGGTTCTGTGTTTTGTGTGCACTACACTTTTAAGCTGTCATGGTTGTAGGGCTGTATGTTATGTCAACAAATCCGATGCAGGTTTTATATCTTGTTAGTTTTTCCTTTCAGCTGACTCCAGAATTGTTTTTGGTGTAGCCTTTGGGAAATGTTTTTGTTCTGTTTATAATGTAATAAAAGTAGCAAAGTAGAGGTAAGATGTTTCAAAGTCTCCTTCACCTGACTCAAAGCACACACCACTCTTTTGTGCCCGTTACAAATCCATCTCACCTCTTGCTGGGTTTCCATACATCTGTGTATAGCAGATATGCATATAGCTCTGATCTTTGTGTACTTCACCTTTTGTAAGATGTCTAAGAAACTTCTGCCTTTTTCAGGGTTGTAGGAAGGAAATTAACTGAAGCTTAGAATCCTTCACTGAAAATGCCTTGCTGCTCTGCATGTTATCTTCTGAACTGGATGTGAGGGAGTGAGTGGACTGCCTGGAAAAATAGCAAAAGAATAACATAGGAAACAGAAGAAACTGAAATTCTCCGAGACACTACAACCAAAAACTGCAGTTTTTGCTGACTGGTTCAGTACACTGAGTTGCAGCTTGAAATGAAGTAGTAGCCACTGCAGCCTGCAGAGGATACTTGTGGATGGTCTTGCATAGCACCATTAAGGAAGTGGAAGTGTATATAATTACATTATTGGTCAGCTTTCTGCTGCATAGTTAGTCAGGTTGAAAAGACAATAGAAATAACATTTTGTCTTTGTATCCCCTCAATAAATGGGTCATCTGCTAAAAGGGTTTGCAGTATATAATTACTGTTGTGCTTACACCTTCCCCATAACATGTTGGACAGCTCATGCCTGAATTTTGGTTATGGAAGAATAAATACACATAAACAAAAAACACATCTAAAGATGTCAAGTGGAAAATCTAATATATTGGCAGCCAAGTAGCAGAATAGTACTTCCCATGTGGGAATCTTATTTTCAAGCTAGTAGCTTGCAGGCCTTGAAGCCTGTAATTGAGGCAATACCAGTAAGCCACTAGAGGCTGCTGCTGTTCTGAAGTCGTTAAGGTGTGCTTGCTTGTGGGTTATGGGGATGCTTAAATTAATTCAGTTTAGTTGGATTTTTTTAGTGGACAGATTTTCTTCATGACAGTTTGGTTTTTTTTTTTTTTTAGATAAGTTTTCTTCTTTAAAGGCATTATTATCCTAATCTTTTGTCTGTGCCTATTGAATGATTAGTACTTAGTGAGCATCTTGTATTAATGTTTTGCTTTACATTGTATAACCTGTGCTACAGAAGTAGGAAGTCATTTGAATGGCTCCATGGAAGAACCAGTTGTGCAGCAAGTGTGTATGCAGTTGAGCCTGAGCTGACCTCTTTGACCTGCTCTGCAAGTCTGGTGTGGAGATTCAGCCCTGTCCCTATAAAGAAAGAAAACAGGCCTAGAGTTTTTCCTTTGCTTTGTATGCAGTGACCAGGAAGCTTTTAAATCTGAGGCTACAGTGTGTAATGGTATGAATACTGCAGATGGTCTGTTTGGCAGTATGTTGACACTCTAAATACTTCACTGTTGGGAACAACGTCAGGTTCGTTCTTAAAGACTGTTGTAGAGGGAAAGCGGGAGGCTGCTTGTGGGGATGGGATACATGTGTGTCACTGGACACAGGTGCATATTTGAGGTAATGGAGCAAGTGGCCTACTTAAGAGGGAACAAGAAGTACTTGCTACCAGTGACTGATTAACATACGCATAGGCAGCTAACAGTAATTGTAATACTGAAAAGATGAGTGGTTCTCTTAAACTATGGTGTGCTATTTCACATAATCTTCAAATATAATAAGCACTTCTGCTTTACCAGTCCACAAGAGAGAGTGCTTTTACCATAAATACCAGTCTAATTAGGTATGAGAATTTACTTTGCAGGATATAGATTACAGCTGTTAATTTTTTTTCCCCTTTGTCCCCCATGGCTGAGGGTTTTACAATACATCTTTTGCAAAACACACTGTATGGCAAAAAAATGAATAAAGGAAAACTTTACTTAGGAAGAGGTCAGTTTTGTATGGAGAAAGTTTTCTTAATTTGAAGAACTGCCTCTACCAGCTTCTGAGGCTTGCTTTGTTTCAGTTGCAGCAGGATAGAAATATTCCCATGTGTATGGAAAAAAGGGGAAAAAAAAAAAAAAAAAATCAGACCATACCCTAGCTTTTTCTCAAGGATTATTCCATGTACACTTCAACCAGGCTGAGGTAACTGATATTATCTTGGGGATTTAATAGTTTAAACAAATTATTCTTGAAAGGAAAATAGTATTTACAGGGTGATGTCAATGTTCTTTGTGTTGAATTAGTTTAGCTACTACTTGTGCTGCCTTTTTTTTTCTTTTTTTTTTTAATTAGCAGAAAGCTTGTGTGTGAAGATATATAAGACATCTCGCTCTTACTTTCATCCCTTCCACCACCCTCCTATCTAATTCGCAAGAGAAGGAGATGACAAGATAGGAAAGGTTGATATAGTTGGATCAAAAAACTGATACCAAAGGAAGTATTCAAATTGTCTGTTTATTACTTTCAGGCAACATATTTGACCCCTAATGTTCACTATGCCCAACGAGGTTGCACTGTAATCAATACAATTTAAAAAAAAAATTAAAAATAAAAATCCCATGGTATACATTGTGCTGTAGTTCTCACACTAAGACAGTACTGATGTTCCTTTATTCAAGTCTTTAGTCATATAAGATGTGCAACTAACTGCAGTGCATAACACGTAAGGTTTTTTTTAAAGAAACATTCAGTGATAAATTAATTACAAATGTATAGGAGAGCTTGCCAACAAACATGCTTGTTTCCTTGAACATAATATTTTGATAATCATGGAAAAGGAGACATTTCTTGATAATGTCCCCTGGAAAATGTAGTCTGTAGTCTGCAGTGAGCCGGGTGGCAGATCTCAAATTAGAGGCTGTACAACCCCAAGTAGATTTACAGTCCAGAGGAAATCTGTTTGAAATGTCTCTTGTGGGATTAACAACCCAGGAAGAGCAGTTGCTAGTGGGAGACTAGAAACTGTTGCAATAGAAAATAAATATTCATTTGTCAACCTTAAAATAGTGTTTGCCACAAATCACACTACTGTGTTTAATCTTATAATTGTAGGCACTGTTTGAACAGAAATAAAGTGACTGAATAACCAGTATGTTGTAGATGTTGAATTAGGCTGATTCGCATTTTTTTTGTGACTTGGAGCCCACGGTTTATTGCATTGCCTTACGTTACCCCTCCAGAAACACCCTCCAACTCAGCTGCCCCTGTACATTTATCTTGCCTTTTTGTTGTAGGTCTAGCTGCCACACGGCTCTCTTTGGAAGACTGTGTAACATTCTTCTGGGGATTGACCAAAACTCATTCCTTCCTTTTTGTGATTATCAACCTACTGGCATGCTCAAAAAGTAGCAGTGTGTTGTGTGCGTCTCTGCTTGCCTCTATGGGCCTAACATTTCTAGAGCAGAACACTTGTACGAATGTGTTCCTGGGCTGTCCATGGAAATCAGCGGTGAAGCTGGCTGCAGTCCTACACAGTTCACTTATCCTCAGGAAATGCAAAAGATCTAGCTGACCTGCACTCCCATTTCCCCTTCTTTGCCTGCTAAGAGTCTATGTGGCTTTTAATTGTTCACATTTAGCTCTCATTTACATTGGAAGAAAAAATATTTACAGATTGCTTATGAAATCTGTTCATTTAAAAAATATTCCTGGTCAGTGTGACCAGAGATGAGAGGACACACTGATCCTTTGATTTATTTTAATATATATTCCATATATATGGGTTTTCAGTAGGATGTTAAATGTGCTTTGGTACACATATGAATATAAGAATAGCAAGAGTTTAGCTGTCCTCATCTCCTGTTTACCGGAATGGCTGTAAATCAATGCTGAGGGAATTAAAAAAGCACCATTAATGTGTGTGACACTGACTCTACTTGGTCAATTGGGCACCTATCAGCTAGATAACATTTTGGGTCTGATGCCAGGTCAGCATAACCGGGGCAAAATCAGCCCATCTTTGGCAGGACCAAATACAAGCAGCCAGCTGTGACACAATCTAGGAAATTAAGTAATATGTTTATTGTAAATGATCTAGTAAAATTATTTTACTAGGATAAGTAGAAATTTTTAAACAATCCAGCAAAGGGCTCGTATGAGAAAATCAGCGAGATGCCAAGGTACAATTTGATTTCCATTGTTCTATCTGTAGAGAAAGCATGATTGCAAAAAAAGGAGGTGTTTACATAAACTGATAAAAAACTCCAGAATTCAGCAGAACACAGCCACGTGTTCCTGGGCTTCCTTCCATAAATGTCTCACCATGTCTGGTGCAGCCCCATTCACCTTCACTATGAGGGGGATCATACTCGCACTAGCGCTCACCCTTGTAGGTAAGCCTACATATTCCTTCTTCATTTCTTTTCCCCCAAATTTCCTCACGTTCAGTAGCAACAACTGGATCTAGGCTGAAAGGTACTCATCTGGTTTTCCACCTCTTTTTGCAGGTAGCCAGAAGTTTGATATTGGTAAGTAAACTTCCTTCTATAACCTTCTTTTGGTGGCTTCATTACGATTCCTGTTTATTAGAACATGGTTGCAGGTATTCCTAAAATGGCTGTTATTCCTCACAGACCCTGGATTCAGTAGCAGAAACAGCCACTTGTACAGCTATGAAGGCTGGGTGTTGAATGGGCTTCAAGAAAAAAGTTTAGCCAAAGTTGGCCTGCGCTTGAGCAGCAAACTGGAGATCAGTGGGCTGTCGGAGAACACTTACCTCCTCAAGGTACCCCGTCCTCTTCCAAATACACTGTGCAATGGTGAACTATACATCGCAGTCATAGCTGCATTTGGCTAACCTGTGGTTTAGGAAAGCTGTAGGGAACACAACTGGAGACCTAGTGTTGTAGATGTGAAACTTCAGTCTGAAGATCATTCTCTGACAAGTGATGAGTTATTTGGCATCCAGTCAGTTTCCAGTGTTTGTTGTGGAAATTGTCAGAAGCAGGTGTTCCTCAAGATTTTGTGTTGGAAATAGATCAAATCAGAGATTCTGTTAGAAAATTATTATTTCTATCTCAAAGCACTCAAGCCTGCTCTGTGTTTAGGATTTGGTTCTAGTTTCAGTGCACATTTCCAACTTCTGTGGGAAGCCAGGACATGGGTACGTAAAATCGTTGTCATGCAGGCAAATAATAAGCTTAGACTTAAAAAGTGATAAAAGCTGAAGATAAAAAATGATGTGATAAAAGAAAGATTAAAAAATGAAAGGCATAAAAAAGGACCATGTAATAATATTTAATATTTGGATAATGCAGTAAAAGGTCTGTTTGTGAAATCACACCTCTACCAACATCAATAGAGATAGGACCAAAATATTTATCCAAAATGAATATGTTTCAGAAAAATATTTTTATTTGTCTGTTTAATGTAGTTACAAATCAGAGCTGCTTTTTTGGGCACTGACTTCACCGACAGAGCTCTTCACTGTTTGTAGCTGAGCTGTAGATATTTCATTGATGAGGGCAAGATGTAAAAATTATGGGCTAGGGATTGCATTTCTCACTACTGTCTTCATCTCCATCATGAAATTCTTATGTGGTGTGCACCAAGCTGTGCTCTGAGGCATCTGAAGTGGCAGTAACTTTGCCAAAGTTACTAAAATTGCTTCTGATTTACACTGAGTATCAGTATGGGGACAAAAATGGAGTTTATTTAAGCAATTCACAATTATTAATCAAATATAGCAACTAGTTTAGTAAAGAAGAAAAATGGAAAAGGAATGAATTAAAATGAAACATTCTAAAACTATACTTTTTTGACATTTAGAATGATACAAACTTCTAAAATGCTGGGTTTCGCCTAAAGCAGAATATTTATTTTAAGGCTGAAAATATAGGGAGAATTTTATTTTATTTTTTTAATTAGTTTTTGAATCAGCCTTTTGCCCTGTAGAGTTAATGCAAGTGAAATGTTTAAAACATTCCCAGGAGATAATAGCAATACATTAACTGCTTCTGTAAGATAAAATAACACTGCTGAGCCCAAAGGGTTTGTACTGGTTTTACAATAGTGTAAGCAAGAGACAAAAGAATAAACTGCCTTATGAATTTATAAGCCTACATTTGGAAGGAAAGAATATATAACTAGGGATTACGTTAATTTCTTCCAATCTGTTTGCTTATTTAGTACCAAAGTAATTCTATTCACATAAGTATCTTTTCTTAATTTCCTCCCAGATCCGCTCTCCACAGTTTGAGGAATACAATGGCATCTGGCCCAGGGACCCATTTACCCGCTCTTCTAAAATCACCCAGATAATTTCTTCATGCTTTGCCCAGCCCTTCAAGTTTGAATACAATAGTGGACGGGTTGGAAACATTTATGGCCCAGAAGACTGCCCTGATCTGTGTATTAACATAGTGAGAGGAATGCTGAATATGGTGCAGATAACCATTAAAAAGTCACAGAACGTGTATGAGTTGCAAGAGGTGTGTTTTTTTTTCCATTCTAAAGCTACTTCACCGAAAGGATGTGTTCTCTTAAGGTGATCTTCCTCCAATTTTCTGTTCATGTGCATCTTCTCTCAAATGTTCATGATCAGAAAAAGACAATTTTCATTTGTATAGAAGAAAATGTGTGCATGGATATGCATTATGCACATTAATATGCAATGCATATCAACATACAACGAATTATCTGGGCTGGATTCTAAGACGTCTGTCTTAAAGACTTAACATGAAGTCCTATGAAGAGAAAAGAATTATTAGCTATAAATGTATTTGTTATATGGCTTCCCCGATATAGCTACTTGATCCATTTTATTTGTTCATTGTTGATATTGATTCCTTTCTCATTTTAAACTCCATCCTCTGACTGAGTATTGTTCACTTGTCTGTTTTTTAGCTCAATAGGATTAATTATGTAGTGGTAATAGGTTTCAAAACATGATTAACACCGTTCAGTAGGTCCTTACCCTCATACTGCTTCTTCTGGATCTTTGTTCCTTAAACTGTCTTCTCACGCAGTGAAATCCTGATATAATTAGGAAGTCTCATTATCTGTATTGATCTGCCAGGGTGGAATTGGTGGTGTTTGCCATACAAGGTATGTTGTCCAGGAAGACAGGAAGAACAAACGAGTCTCTGTTACCAAAACTGTAGACGAAAATAATTGTCAGGAAAAAGTGAAGAAGAGCATTGGAATGGCTTACATCTATCCTTGTCCTGTCGACATGATGGTATGTGAGATGTAAAAAGATGTTCCTAATTATAAGCACAGCCGTTCTGTTCCCATTCACTCTTTGGGTCTCTCTGTCCCCCAGAAGGGAAGGCTCATAAAAGGGACTGCAGCTTACTCCTACAAACTGAAGCAGTCAGATAGTGGTACCCTCATCACAGAAGTAGTGTCACAGCAGGTGTATCAGATCTCACCACTCAGTGAACCTACTGGTGTTGCTGTCATGGAAGCAAGGTAGGTGGGACATGGGCTTGCTTCACAAAATGAGAGTAATTATAGATTCTAGTCGTCTCTTTCACCCCCAGTTGAAGTAAAATGGGAATTGAGTTCTAGAGGAGTTGGGTACATCTGCGAGTACTCATACTTGGCATTTCCACACTCCTAAAAACCCAGTGAACAATTCTTTATTAGTACCCTGGTGAACTCAGCACTACAATTACATGGAAGAAAAGCAGGAAAGTTCTTTTGCTCGCTTATATCATAAGAAAGTGATTTTATTACTTTCTTATGATATAATCATTGATTACATTGTCAATAGCTCTCATTTAGAAGACAGCGGCTTAGCTCCTCTGAAACTATTCCATTGTAGAAAACTCTTTATACTATTTTGTTTCAGTTAGCAATCTGTAAGCTGTTACCGTCTTAAGAAAAACAATTAAAGAGTAAATCCGTTATGATCGCATTATCTACTGAACCAACAAACCGCCAAGGCAAATGGAGGAGAAGAGCTAATTCATTCCTTCCGTGACACTTGTCTTTCGACAGACAGCAGCTCACCTTGCTTGAAGTGAGAAGAGAAGTGGGGAGTGCTCCAGACACTCCCATGCAGAGCTACGGAGGCCTTCGTTACCACTTCCCGTCAGTACTGCCACAGATGCCACTGCAGCTTATCAGGACGAAAAACCCTGAGCAACGGGTATGGCCTTTTTAGCTCTTCAAATTGCTCTCCTAATAAGATTAATGAAAGAGTAATGATCATAAATTCCAAAGGAATTAATTATGTATGCCCCCTCTCTCTCGTGTTCTGTAACAGATAGTAGAAACACTGCAGCACATAGTCCTGCATAACCAGAAAGATTTCCACGACGATGTTGCATACAGATTCTTGGAGCTCATCCAGCTCTGCCGGGTAGCAAGTGCTGATACTCTTGAGTCCATCTGGAGGCAATTTTCAGATAAACCCCGCTACAGGTATTTCATTGTATGAACTTATAAAAAACATTTCCATTTGGGGAGAATTGAGAGCTAAAATTAAGGTTTTTTTTTTCTTCAACCTGCTTGCAGGCATTGGCTGCTGACTGCAGTTTCTGCGACAGGCACCACAGAAGCACTCAAATTCATTAAGACCAGAATTCGCAATGATGACCTTAACTATGTTCAGACTCTTCTAAGTGTTTCGTTTGCTCTCCACTTAACGAAAGCTGATGAACAGACAGTACCAATAGCAGCAGTAAGTAAATCCACGTGAATTTTTCCTATCCAATAACAAAAGAAATGATAATTGATGACCATCTTTGATTATACAGTACATTAGGGACTGGATTCTCCTCTCATGTATATCAATTTTGTGCAAATGTTGAACCATGAATTTCTTTTGGCACTACATACATGAGAGGAGAAACAGTCTTCTGTCTTCATTTTGCTACATGGATATAAAAGCCATTCTCCTGTAACAGCTGCTGAGAGTAATTCCCATTTTAGTTTACTGGGATAACATGCCAGGCCTTCTACAGACAAAATTTTGTCCACTTCAGTCTCTTGCTTCTGAAACAAATGGTGATTTGTTCGTTATGATATTCAAATAGTTCTTTTTAATTGCAAACTACCCCTATTGTCACAGAATATTAACTGAAACCAGGGTACCTATAAACTGGAAAGTGCTGCAAGTATTAGTGCAAACATCACATATTTTGACACTAATTAATCATTTATTCTGAACAGGATTTTTCCCATCTCTAGTCAATATTCTTCTCAAATAGTAAAAAAAGATATGATGTAAGAATGCATCATTAATATAACACATTGTTGTAAGGATATTCCATTTATAGATTGATGTTTACCCATAATATTTGTATTTTCATTGTTATTCTCTGTTATCCCATGTTGCACCCTATGAGGAAAATCAAAATGGAGCTAACATATATATATGTTTATTTATGTTGCAATGAGTGGAGCATTAAGCTCATAAGTAAACTTGCAAATAAAATACCTACAAGCTGATTTAGGTTGTTGGGCTGTGAATCATTCTGAAACTGCTCTGACGGTTTTCCTACTCTGAGAGTTATGTCAAGCACTGTATTAAATACTAAGTTAATTTTGTTTTACTTTTTTTTTCCCCTCAGGATTTAATGACCAGTTCTCGAATTCAGAAAAGTCCCATGCTTCAGCAAGTTGCCTGCTTGGGATACAGTTCTGTGGTCAACAGATACTGTTCTCAGACCTCAGTTTGTCCTAAAGAAGCTCTTCAGGTGAGTGGCTTTTACGCAGGTTTTTCTTAATAGGTTTGTAATGGTCATTACATTAGCTGAATTCTTTTGAAGATACGGTACAGAAATGGCAGTTTGACTTAGAAATACACATTTCATTGGTCTCCTTCAGAACAAAGGCAATGAATCATATTACTAATGTAGGTATTTTCTTCATCACTGAAAACACGGTTTTCACATTATAAGATAAAATCCCAAAAGAAGCCACTACTGAATAATTTTGCTAAAACCAGTTGGTTTATTGCCACTGGTTTTTCAGTGGGTTAGGGAAGCACTGTCGAAAATCTATACATGAGGAAGAAAAGACTGACCTGTGCTTTGCCTATAGCCCATCCATGACCTAGCAGATGAAGCAATCAGCAGGGGCCGTGAAGACAAAATGAAATTAGCTCTGAAGTGCATTGGTAATGTGGGAGAACCAGCCAGCATCAAGCGCATCCTGAAGTACCTCCCCATATTTTCATCCAGTGCTTCTGATATCCCCATCCACATTCAGATTGATGCCATAATGGCCTTGAGAAAGATAGCTTGGAAGGAACCCAAAACAGTAAGTATGAACTGCCAGAGATTACTGAATGAATTAGAGAATATATACTGTGAAGGGTAATGAATTTAATGGTATTATGTTTGTGGGTTCAGCATTTTTTAGAAAAAGGTTTATTTTTAAGAACAACACAGTACAATTTTATATTTCAGCTGATGTTTTCTGCTAAGCTGTAATAATTGTTTGTCAGTAGGAATCTTCCAGAAGGATATCAGCCGTGTTTCTTTAGTCATCTGTCCTAACCAATTAGGTCCTGTGATAGTTATATAGGGTGGAAATTTAGCCACCTAAAGGTCAGACATAGAGTTTAACCTGCCTCGATATTCAAGAGGAAAGAGAGAGGCACTTTTTATTGACTTCCTAGGCAAAATGCTGACATTGCTCTGACTCTTTTCAACCTTTCCCCTGAGGTTGAACCGCTGACATGTCACTGAGGTTGCTGGTGTGGTGAGCATAGACGAGACTCTTGCCTTCGGATGATTACAATATAGAAGCTATGTGAGACAGCATCCACTCAGACTGTCTTTGGCGAGCTGATGAATCTCCCCTTTTAAAAGTGGTCTAAAATAGTGAAGCACGCTCACTGAGTCAGTGGGGTTGCTCCAAAGAATTGATCTATCGTATCTGCATTTGTTTCTTCTGAAGTTATTCACAAATCTTTGAATGACAGTAATGCAAAAAGCTAAGCTGATGTCTGTTTGGTTGAATTGTGAATGTACTGTTCCAATACATTTATTTCAGATTCAATGTCCACCCTTCTCCATGGGGCTGTTCCTCCATAGCCCCTTCTGTTGTCTTAATAATATGATGTGGAACCATACAGTAAAAAAGATGAGGAAACCTTTCTGCAGGGACAAGAACTCCCTCTCCCATACTTCTTGCGGGCCATGTGTGGATCCCATCTGCAAAAAAAGTCTCAATTATTGGTAATTTCAGACACTTTTCTCTCTGCAGGTGCAGGGATACCTGATTCAGATCCTTGCAGAGCAGTCGCTGCCCCCCGAAGTGCGGATGATGGCCTGTGCTGTGATCTTTGAGACGAGGCCTGCGCTCCCTTTGATAACAACGATAGCTAACGTGGCAATGAAGGAGCGCAACCTGCAAGTGGCCAGTTTCGTCTATTCCCACATGAAGGCTTTGGCAAAGAGCAGTTTGCCATACATGTACAACGTGTAAGTAGAGACAGGAACGAGGTCAGAGATCTTCTGCAAATACTTTCTGTTACCTTCTTGTTAGTGAGCACAGCACGTGCTGACAAACTGAATTCAGATTAGAATCTTATGAGGTGCGGCTTATTTCTGGATATTGTCACCTCTTTCATTTTGTTTAGATCTTCGGCTTGTAATATTGCTCTCAAGCTGCTGTCACCCAAATTGGACAGACTGAACTTTCGGTATAGCAAGGTCATGAGCTTCGGTGATTACCTTGGTGAGTAAAAGCATTTCAGTGACCAGGAAATTTTCACTTCAGAAATTCATTCTTCTGAGACATCAAGTCCTTTGGAGAAATAGGGCATTCTGCATTTCAATAAGAAATGGAAATAAATGTGGCAGTCACATATGGTGTGTAAGTAACCATTTATTAATTTGGGCCTAACATTTAAAATTTATGTAATGATATACCTTAGAGTTGGTAACGTAGAAAAGCTTCTCAATATGACCTTAAATAATACGCAGAATGGTTAGAAAAAAAGATGTCTTTTGTTTACTTCTGCCTTAGATAACTATAAAGTTGGTGTTGCTGGAGACATCTTTGTTATGAACAGCCCAGGAACGATGTTCCCATCAGCAATAATTTCCAAGCTGATGGCATATTCTGCAGGGTCAGTGGCGGATTTGGTGGAGGTAAATATTTACTTAGATCAATAATAAAGCCAATTAAAATTAAAAGTGACCACAAAGTTTCATCTCTGAAGTATGTTTTGGACTGCTCTTTCTCATGCTGTTTTGGTAGGTTGGTGTTCGCGTGGAAGGCCTCACAGACATCATCATGAAAAGAAATATCCCATTTGCTGAATATCCTACATACAAAAAGATTAAGGAGATTGGAAAAGCTGTAGGTATTTGAAGTAATGCAATGTGTGGGTGACGTGAAGGGGTATTTAGTGAGGCCTCTCATACTAGTTAAGCCTAGTCTCAGAAGACAAGCTACCTGCCTAGCAGTCAGCTCAAGTATTATTGTGAAAGCGAGATGTGGAGTGGGACTGCAGGGGACATCACTCCTGATTGTGATAGTTGTGATAGTTTCTGCAAATTGTCGCTCTGGCCCTGCCTCCTCTCCACCTCATGAATGGCTCAGGTGGAGACAGGGGAGGTGGACTTTGCGGCACCATGTGTGTCTCATGCATGGCAGGCTTCCTCCTCCCTCCCTTCACCTACTTCACTTAATTTACAAGAACATACCTTTGTCTACAAGTGAAAAGGTGATTTGTTGCTGTGCTTTCAAACTGGTTTTAGCGGTGCTAATAGAACTAGTGGTACTAATGGCTCTATGTAAATGTTATTGCATCGGAATGCAAAACACTGGACAGGAGGCTATTCGTGGGCATCTCAATGTGCTCAGGGATTAAGTCTGAATTAGTAATGCTATGCTATTTACGCAGCAGCAAAGACATGCAAGCAGCAATGGAAAATCGCAGCTTGTTCAGTGATGAGTTTGATTACCTTGCTGAATTACCATTTGTAAAGTGCTGCATGAAGGAATTTTTCATGTTTCATTATCTGTTCCCTAGCTGCTGGGATGGAAGGAGCTGCCAACAGAAACTCCCTTGATATCAACCTACTTTAAACTATTTGGCCAAGAGTTTGCCAACATCAATATCAACAAAGAAGTCCTGCATCAGGTTATAAAGGTACCAGGGACTCCTACTTTTCTTTGTGAGATTTGACACCATTGTGTTTTTATATCCCGACCTCTTGGATCTTTGTTTTACTGCAGACTGTGCTAGAACCTGCTGACAGGAACACGGTGATGAAGAGAATCGCCAGCCAAATCCGCAATGGCATTGCAGGGCAGTGGACGCAGCCCCTGTGGGTGGGAGAGCTGCGCTACATCCTCCCGACCTGCACGGGCCTGCCGCTGGAGTACGGGTGGTACGCCACTGCCCTGGCGCGCACAGCGCTCAGCGGTGAGCTGGGAGGGACGAGCTCAGCGGCGCCAGCTCTGCGCGGGGGGGAGAGGGACGGGCTAGGAGGGGCTGGAGAAAGAAGTGGAAAAACAGGAAGTTAGAAAAAGAACTCATTTTTGTACTGGGGAGGGGGTAGTGAAGATATTTGAAGGCAAGGTGGATGCAGCTAATTTCTGCCTCATCTTTGAATGGAATGAAGACAGAGATGGTGAGGTGAGAATCTGGGAAGCCAGAGACAGAAAGGTCACAGCATTCAAGGCCCGAAAAAAACAAGAGCTGCCTGGAGAGCTGATGCAGACATAGGTAGAAGGGGCTGGCTCCTGAGAGATGCACACACAAGCTGTGCCAGGATTCAATGGTCATTTAAGCAGAGAAGAAAGTAGAAGGTAATCGAAACAGAAGTACAAGTAACGTTAGAGAAGATGGGAAGAAGGCTTGTGGAAAGAGACAGAGAACTTTGTTTTAAAAGAATAAATGTGCAAGTATGGATCCTTATAAAGAATTAATGCAGTGGTCATACTGTTTGTTGTGCAGCAGACTTTTAATTTAGGCAAAACTGACCCTTCCTTCTGCTGACATCGCATAACGAATGAAAGACAAAGCACATGTACTTGTGCTCTTTATAGAAGTCTTGTATGCGCCTACTCTTCACTGTTCTTGCTTTTTGTTTGTTAGTTTGATTTAATAACATTTTTGAACCCCAGCACCTTGTTTTGTGGATTTTTTAAAAAAATAATATCCTTGTAGCCAAGCTAGGGAGGAATGGATTGGATGGATGAGCTACAAAGTGAGTGAAGGATGTCTGGACTGCTGATCTCCTAGAGTAGTCAATGGATTACAGTCTAATCAGTGGCTTGTTACGAGTCTTTCTCCATCATTAGCACTTGTTCATTGTCTCTTTCAACAATCTGATCTTTGGAAGAAAAGACACCCTCAGCAAGTCTGTGTCAATGATGACATTGATTTGGTGAAAGCAATCACTGCACTGGAGGGTCAGGCTGCCACCCCAGGGGACCCTGACAGGTTGGAGGGGATGGCTTGATAGAGTGTGATGAAATTTCACAAAAACAACGCAAAATCCCTTCAGCTGGGATGGAGTAACTCATACAGGTGTGTAGGCTGAGCATCACCCAGACAGCAAGTGGCTTTGCAGAAAAAGTCCCGGGAGACCTGGTGGACAAGCTGGTACAGTGAGTCAGCAGTGTGCTCTTGTGGTGAGCAAGGCCAACTGCATCATTGGCTGCAACAGCAAGAGCAGAGCTAGCATGAAAATGTTTTCCCCCTTCTGTTTAGCATATCTGAGGCTGCATCTAGCGTACACTGTCCCATTTGGGATCTGCAGTACAAGAAAGATGGTCACACTTTGTTTAGCCTGGTTGCCCACCATTCACTCTGTCTTCTGGCTCCTCACGTTTCTGAAGTTTTAGTGTTATACTAATTAACAAATTTACAATTTTTGTCAGCTCTTTGTTTTATGACTAGTTTTATTTCCATTTTCAATACATTGCATCAGAACCTTTGCATAGAGAATGATCTTTCTGTATATTTTCAGTACTTCTCAGACTCATAAAAGATCTCATGTACCTCAAAGTCTGTCTTGTTTTCTTGTCATAACAAAAATACTGGCTCTTCCTGAAAACAGTGTCTTACTTAAATTCAAATCCTTTCTTTCATGTTTACTATATTTAAATGTTGTTCTGTCATTCGCAGTTGATGGAAAGATGACGCCCCCTTTAACTGGAGATTTTAGACCTTCCCAGTTGCTTGAATCTACCATGCAGATTCGGTCTGACATAAACCCAAGGTATAGCAGGTTTCTAAGGCTATATATGTGATGGATTTTTTTTATGAAAAGGTTTCTTACATCTGACAATTTCCCTCTGTTTCAGCTTGTACATACATACAGTTGCAACAATGGGTGTCAACACAGAATACTTTCAACATGCTGTTGAAATTCAAGGCAAGGTCCTGACAAGAGTGCCAATGAAGTTCGATGCCAAGATAGACATGAAACTCAAAAACATTAAGATTGAAACAAATCCATGCCGTGAGGAAACTGAGATAATGGTTGGGAGGTACAGTAGTATTACTTCAGAATACTTCCTGTTGCTGAAACCTTACAAAGTTCACTATTCATTGACCTCCTGCAGAGGTTTCTAGATAGACGGAGTGACTTTTCAGTGTGTAACAGAACCTTTGGGATAAAGAGCAAAAAAAAGAAGTAGGTGAGTTAAAAAGTCAAAAGATAGCTAAATTATTTAGGAGTTTAGTTTTCATTTTAATTTCTTTATTATTTTGTGGGTTTAGTTTTTATTGGTTTATTATTTTATTGCCTTTTAGGGTTTTTAAATTTTATTTTAAAGTTTATGTCTTCTGTGTTTTGGAAATTTGTTTAATTTTAGCCAGATTTTGAAAACTTCCTGTGATATAAGGAACTGATGTTTGTCATGAACTCGTCTCTAATAATATTTATACTTCTGCTTGTATGTACAATCTCTGTGTTCGAACAGCATACCTCTGTGCTGTCACATGATACTGTCAGGGATGTATTTAATTTAATCCAAAGACAAGGGTTCAGAATAATTCACCTTTTTTTTTTACACACATCTCAACAGACATAAGGCTTTTGCTGTATCAAGAAATATAGGAGAACTAGGTGTTGAAAAGAGGACCTCAATTCTCCCAGGAGATGCGTCATCAGATATTGTTGAAGAACCTTTCAAACCATCAGAGAGAGCTTCCAGTGAAGGTTTCACAATGGTAACCTATTCCTTTTTGCTCATATAGTAATATTTATCCTCTCTGTGATGCATATGTCTGCAGTTTTACTCTTGCCTGTGATACGCTCCCAGTGGTACTCACATACTCATCTCCACTGCAGCAGGGAGCTGACAGCGGGCTAGGGAAACATGCCTATACTTCTCAAGAGGATTTTCACCATGGCACAGGAAGAAAAACTCATAAACGAGACATTTGTGTCAAACTGCATCATCTTGGTTGTCAGCTCTGCTTTTCCAGAAAGTCACGAGATGCCAGCATCCTAAAAAATACATATTTGCACAGATTAATTGGAGAACATGAAGCTAAAATAGTCTTGATGCCAGGTACAATACTGAACACAAGCCTTGTCATCTTAGGTTTATTGGTGCTATTTGAAGCAGTATAACCTTCTAATGTGTGTGATTGGTGTGTAGTTCAAACAGATGCTGATATTGACAAAATTCAGCTGGAGATTCAGGCAGGATCCAGAGCAGCTTCCAAGATAATTCATGTTGTAGATTCAGAGTCTGAGGAAGAGGATGAGTCACCTCCCTATGAGGACATTCAAGCTAAACTGAAGAAGATTCTAGGCATTGAAAATGTGTTCAAGGTAAGAGACTCTGAGAATGGGATGGGCCAATAGTTTCCCATAAATGAAGCTAAGAATTTGAGGTTCACTGTGTAAAGCTTGCATAGGAAAGCATGGATGGGGCTAGTTTGAAAGATGCCAGTGCCAGACCTGTCAGCCAGGTCTACATCTGGAGGGCCTGCATCCCAATGGGTGTATCCAAGCTGGGGCTGGTCCTCTGTGCTGGGCTGGATTTCAGCTGGGCAGGGTGGATCTAAGGGAGTTTGGCATCTTCTGCAGTGAGTGAGGCGGGTAAGTTGTTGTTCCTTGAAAGGCTGATATGAACAGTTTGTCTGACACCCCGAGGAGTTTTACTTTGTGAATATAGAACCAGATATATCCCGTCTCTTGCACTTCTCTTTTTTGGTAGGTTGCAAATAAAACACGTCACCAGAAGAAGCAACCTTCTAAGAAAGGAAATACCATGCTAACAGAGCTTGGGACAGACCCCAGTGCAAAAAATCCCTCCAGCTCATCTTCCGCCTCTTCAACTATTTCATCTTCTTCCTCATCATCTGCTGCTTCTCCTGATCGAAAAAAGGCTGTGGATGAAGACAAGAATGATCAAGTAAAGCAAGCAAGAAATAAAGATGCAAGCAGCAAGGGCAGCAGCAGTAGTAGCAGTAGTGGCAGAAGTAGCAAGAGCAGCAGCAGCAAGAGCAGTAGTGGCAGAAGTAGTAAAAGCAGTGGCAGCAGCAGTAGTAGCAGCAGCAAGAGCAGTAG